GTGTGTGTGCGCCGCCCTCTGTACTTTGATGTGCTTTGTTTTACTAACAGAAAAACCGAACTTTCTACTTTACTCTGTTTGTCTGTCTTTCTGTGTAACTGTCCGTCTGCCCGTGTGAGTGAGTGAGAGAAAGAGAGAGAAAGAGAGAGAGAGAGAGAGATAAAAGAGAGATTGTATAATATAGAGAGACAGAAAGAAACAGGTCGAAAAGAAATAACCACAATACTCACACAAAAACAACAACAGTCTGCATCCCCATGATAATCACTTTTTCGAATTGGCTTTTAAACAAATTGATTATGTTGTCAAACCCGTAAAAGTGAAGAAAATGTTGAGATCCTAAATCCGTTCCCTTATATCAAGCACTCTTGGAATATGTATTGGCGTCAAAAAGAACGTCATAGAACAATAAGCTGTAGTAAGTGCATAATTGCTGATTAGCAGCCTGTAATAACTTCTTGGGGTAGAAGGAATAATGACCATTACCACAAACATTTATATTATGAATGTTGCAGTTATTTTACACCTCCTTCGATATATTTTTGAATCATTTAAGGGGCGGGTTTTAATCCTGATTGTACTGGCCAACCCGAGTTGAGAGGAATACAATGTCTAAGCAGAAAGAACTGAGGTATCGATAAAAATAATCTCCACACGGGATTCGAATTCGGGTCTTCTTCGTGCAATGGCGAAGCGTTTAACTGCTACACCAAAGGTGTCAGTATGCAACTTGTAATGGTTTTTTATTCTTTAATTTTGTTTTGTAAAGCTATTTCATTCATCTCGATCCAGCCGTTTCTCATCTTCTTTTTGTCAGAATCTAAATAGGCCTACCTCCTCCAGGCACCTTTAGGCCTTCCTCTATTATAATTTCCTTGTTTCATCTATCTTAGAGTTTGACAGGTAATATTCAATTTCGGTTTCTTATAGGTTTATCCGACCCACTTCCATTTGTGTTAGCACTAATCCTTATAATCTGATGTAAGTAGGTCTTGGCTATTCCGAGCAACGGGGCCCGAAAAGTAAAAGTACCGATCTCCAGTGGAGTGTTTGGTTCTTTTGTTGGGTTGTGTTTCTTTTTCCCTTATCTCTTGAAGATTGTTGTTTTTGTGTGTTTTTTATGTTCGTCCCTTTTGGGGGG